TCCTCTTCCTCTTCCTCTTCCTCTTCCTCTTCCTCTTCCTCTTCCTCTTCCTCCTAACAAAATGGTTTTAAAAGCCCTTTTGTCTTTATCTTCAGCATCTCTACCATTGCAATATCTCTTCGTCGGACAAAGTAGCCTGAAAAAGTAGCCTTGGACCTTGAAGAGTTTGGAAAAAAAATGCAAATATGAAAGGATAAATTTACTATATTTGTTCCTTCCTCTTTATATTCCTTCCACCAGTTTGAGAAAATGTGTATCTTATTTTAAAGCCTGTGTTTAAACTAATTTCGCAGTATTCCTCTGTAATATATCTGTGTGATAAAATGACTAACATTGCAGTAATTYTTGGTCATCCCAAGGTATAAATATGAAGTTTATATTTTAAGTATTAATGTATAAATAACTRTTGACATTGGACTGGGCAGCACAAGAGGCACTGATTGACATGGATCTCATGATTTTTCAGATGAGGATAGGCATTCACTCAGGATCAGTTCTGGCTGGTGTCGTTGGTGTAAGAATGCCACGGTATTGTCTCTTTGGGAACAACGTCACTCTTGCAAGCAAGTTCGAGTCAGGAAGTCACCCACGTCGCATCAATGTCAGTCCAACCACATACCAGTAAGTGCTGTCAGCCTTTACATTCTGTTTTTATTGCAACCTGTTTAAAGTAACATGTTATATCCTTTTACTATGAATATCAGCAGAAGGACACCAGAGCACCAGGACAACTGAAAAGAGCTACTGCCCAAGTAGTAGCATCAGAGAGTACAAAGAAGTCAGTGCAAAAAAGGAATTACTACAGCAGCGTCAATCATTCCTACCAAAAATAGCATGTAACAGAAATGGGAAATGCACATCATACCCATCATTTCATGCACTATTACAACTTCAGGCTGAAGATTCTGAGCTGACATAAAGCTAATGAAGAAAGCACATTTCTGTATTAAAGTCTTTAACTTTGGTGATGAGACTGTTTTCAAAGAGCATTCTTGGGGGCAAAATTTCTTGTTTAGCGTTGTCTTCGTATAAATTTAATTTAAAAAATACTTAAGAAAAAGATTGAAAAAACAAAGTATTATCAGCAATTCTTATGCAAATGGAGAGTAAACTTCATTAAAGAAGGTTAAGAGTAACAACTCTTAAAGAAGAAAGGTATTTCTTATTGTTCGACAGTTTGACTATAAGGATTTCTATTGCTTGGATTAGTATAGATATCATAGAATCATTGAATCATAGAATTGTTAAGGTTGGAAGGGAGCTTTAGAGGTCAGCTAGTCTAACCCCCCTGCTCACACAGGGTCACCTAGAGCATGTGGCAMAGGGCTGCATCGAAGAGGGTTTGGGAGATCTCCAGAGAAGGAGACTCCACAACCTCCATGGGCAGCCTGTTCCAGGGCTTTGTCAGCCTCACTGTCAGGATATTTTTCCTTAAGTTCCTGTGGAACTTTTGGTACTTCAGTTTGTGGCTGTTTCGTCTAGTCCTGTCACTGGCCACCACTGAAAAGAGGATGACCCATCCTCCTCACTGCCTCTCTTGAGGTATTTATAGACACTGATCAGGTCCCCCCTCAGCCTTCTCTTCTCCAGGCTGAACAGGCCCAGCTCCCTCAGCCTTTGCTCATAGGGCAGATGTTCCAGGCCTCTGATCATCCTTGTAGCCCTGCGCTGGATTCTCTCCAGCAGCTCCACATCCCTCTTGTACTGGGTAACCCAGAACTGGACACAGTACTCCAGCTGTGGCCACACCAGGGTCACATATATTGTCTTTTCTGTYGGGAGGTGTATATCTCACTCTTTTTCCTACCCTGTGTATTTGAAATAGTTTTCTGAATCATGGTTTTGCCCAGATTTGGGGACTGCTAGAGTGAGGTTGTATGAGCAGAGTATTAGATTAGATGATCSCCTACCTCGACTGTTTTTCAATTCTGCAACTGTTTCTCTGTAGTAAATATGTAAACCGTTGCTCCAACAGTACTTCTTTTCCTTCTTTTTTTCTTTATATAGAACCATGAATTTYCATATTTATTTTTTCATACATCTATCTATGTAAATGAAAGTTTTAAATGGAATTTCTTCATCCAAGACTTGAAGCTCCTGATATGCTAAAATATAAAGCAATCAGAAATGAAAGTTAAAAAGTAATTAAAACTAGTGAATAAAATGACGTTCGTGTTCATAGTCCATTCACTACAGGTAAAATTTACAGAATGGAGCAAGTGTAGTTAGTTCAACAAAAGGCAGAAAAACGGAACAGACTTTTGATCATAAAGTGAACAGAATCAAGTTCATATTGTTGTGTCATAACAAGCAAGAGACATACAGACCCACACTATTCTCAGGTATAGAAAATATGCTCATTTAAATACAAAAATATACAGGATTTTTTTAAAGAATTTATACCAATTTAAAAAATGTACAGCTGGAAATATGGGTAGTATTTGTGGGAGCGGTGGTGCACAAGTCTATTTATTTAGACTATTCTTGGATTGATTAAGTCATTGTCACTTTTATTTTTCCAGAGACAGTTCTGCTTTCTTTTTGATTACAAAATGCTACAGCACACTTACCATGAGACAGCTGATCCATGGTCATTGTATGTCATCTTTATATTGCATTGTTGAGAAGAAATCTGTTCTGAAAACCGATTGAGCACTAGTATGTAGAGTTTGTAAGCAATAAGTGCTCTTACATTGTCCTTTATCCCACTACAAGTATGTTTGTTTCTACTCACTTTAATCCCATGTTCAGGCATTTGTGTCCAAAGTATGTGATTCTCTGTTCAGTCAACATATCAACTTCAGTGGKGGGTAGGACTGTTTTTTATCTTCACAAAATAAAATATTATCAATCAGTCTTGGCTGTAGGGATCCCCTGAGACAAAATTTCTAGRTTTTTTTTTAATAAAGGGAGASCAGTGGATGTCACAGAATCACAGGATAGTTGAAGTTGGAAGGGACCTTTAGAGATCATCTAGTCTTACCCCACAGCTCAAGCATCTACCATGTCATCTACCTTGACTTAACTAGTCTTTGGATGTCTCCCGCGGATGGCATCCTTGTATGCAGGTTGGGAAATTACAATCTAGATGGATGAGCTACTAGATGAAAGAAAAACTGGCTGGATCTCTGGTCTTACATCAAATAGTTAAAATATGTTGTACTCTGCCTGAAGACCAATAAAAAGGGACAACTGCAGGAGTCTTGGGATCTGCCCTGTTTCATCAGTGACCTGGGAGAGGAGAGAGTGCCCTCTCCTTGAGTTTGCAGATGTCACCATGGAGCTAGTAGTATGCTTAGAATAGGGCCTAGACAAGCTGGAGGAAGGAGTCAATGAGCATCTTTTGAAACTCAAGAAAAACAAATGTAAAATCCTGCACATAGAACAAAAGAACTTTTTACAATAGGTATTTTTACTACAGGCTGGGGACTGACTGTCTGGGGAGAAGTTCTTTGGAAAAGGCTTAAGGATCCCAGGGGGCAGTGAGCTGGACATGGGCAAGCAGAGCGTCCTGGCAGCAAGGAAGGTCAACAGCATCCTGGGCTGCATGAAAAAGGCACAGACAGAGATCCAGGGAAGTGATTAATCCCCTTTACTTGGCCTTCGTTAGCTCCATATGGATTACTGGCTACAGTGTTGGGGCCCTGGAACCAGGCAGAATTTTATGAATGAGAAAATTCAGTGCAGTGTTGGCAAGATGGTTGACTTGCCTGATGAGAAGAGATGGAAGGAACTGGGCTTGTTCAGTCTAGAGCTGAGACAGCTTTGGGAGCGCATGACATTAGCCCTCAGTGCCTAACTGGAGGTCATCAAAGAGGTGGAGCCTTTTCAGTGGGGAATGGTGGGAATCCAAGAGGACAATGACCATAACTTCAAACAGGGGAGATTTTGACTGCATGCAAAGAAGAAATTTCATTTTAAGAACAATCAAACTGCAGCACAGGTTGCACAGGGTTCTGCTGTCTCCATCCTTAGAAGTATGCACCTGGATGAAGCGGTGTTGTTGATCTGTTTTTGAGCAAAACTGGATTACAAATCTCCTGAGGTGCCCTTCRTACTAAATTATTCTATGGATGTATGATTTGTCCATGTATATATTCACCCTGAGTGTTAGTTGATTAGAATTCTGGATCTTAATGAAGTAAATAATTTCTGACAGATTTCATAACCCATTTTACATAAAGCAAAACATTTTCTTGCAGCTTAATGCCACAGCACTAACCTGTGAACTTAAAATAATTTCATATACTGGGGATAATTTTTACACCTTTTGAAGCTGAGGGAACAATAATAAATTTTGGTGAACAGAACATTTTTGGTTTGTTTCTTTTTGCAATAGCCATGGTAACAAAAAATGAAAGGTAAAAGACAAGACTATCCTCTAATTGAACCACACAAATCCCTTTGTTATGCTAGCCTTTGGATAGTCTTGGTGTTGATTTCCTGCTGTATCCCTAGGATATTTCTGATTCATTACTTTCATTACTTGATGTGGGACTTCTTTAGTCCATCAAAAGCATGTTTTTTTTTTTTTTTTTAGAAGAGGTGTATGAAGACTCTCATAGCTCCTTCTAAGTAGTAAAGTGTGGATAAAGCCAGTGGGGAGTGCGACAGGTAATGTTTTAATATACATAGGAATAAATCTGGATTCAACTAGTTTCGTTGATAAAACTTCTACTCGTTTTAGTACTGTCAGACTTTCTCCCTATGGGAACATCAAATATGGTCTTATTTTCCAGTTGTGAAAGTTATGAATTTGAACTGTTAGTTTAAAAAAAGGGGAAAATGGTAGAAAAATAACTATTGGTTTAGAAAAATAACTATTACTACATAGAACAAAACAAACCATAACGAAATAGTAAATTATGCATATTTGTTACCTGTACTTAGGTATTACCTGGAAAATCTGATGTTATATGCTAAAAAGATTCAGAATGACAAATGACACATATGCAGGTAAAGAAAGTAGAAACAGGATAGTGGTCATTCAAGATGAATGGCTAAAAGTAGTGAGAAAAAGGAACTAGCTCCTTTTATATATTTCAGAAAACATTTGAGATATAAAATGAAGGTGCATGGGGCCACTTAGCCTATTCAAAACCCTACCTTCAGACATTGTTGAAAGCATGAGAACAGGTTGGGGAGAAGAAATGTGATGATTCTGACACAGTGAAAGAGATCGCTATTAAAAAATGCTCTGTAAGGCAGGAATATTCAGAGTCCCCAGAGGTAATCTAGGAAGTCTGAACTGTAATGTAACATTTCTTAAATAGAATCTGTATCAAAATAGACTTTTCTGAAATAGAATTTGCTGCRATTTGTATACTAAAACACTGAAATGTCTTTATAACTGATCTTATTTTACATCAAATGCTTCTACCTTGTCATACTATGCTGCTGTGTAGTCAACTAATATTTTTATTATCTAAGAAGCAATATTTTACAAAGCAGATAATTCTGCAGTCAGCATGAAAATAACAGAATACCAATTAATTAAAACTATTGGCATTTATCATTACATATTTACACCTACCTTTCCCCATGCTGAACATTCTGGCATGCTCTGTGCTTACAAAGCACACAGATACTGAAAACGAGTCTGATACTTATCAGCTTGCATT